CTTACCATATTTGCTATAATAAAATATCTTGACTAGTCAAATATATTTAATGCAGAAAATAACGCATAAATTTATAAATTAAGTAAATATAGCAAATTCAATCTGAAAATAATTATAGCTGCGAAATTACATCACGTTACAATGAGCATCAAGGGAGCGATGTCATGTGTTTTATTTCAAAGAAATAGCTCTTCGAGCCTTAATCTGCGAATCAGAGATCAGCATAGATATTTGGAGAAATGACACAGTCTCATTGAACATGCCAATAAAAAGCCCCGATGGGTCGTGATCTCATATTTATTGATAGATTTACGAAAATCTTTATTTAACCCGTGATGATCAGGCCCTTGGGCGCCTCTTCGAGGCATGATATATTTACATATAACTATGAGATTATAATTTTAGACTATCCACATAACGTTTTTACTTAGTGTACTATTCAGAATCGGATAACGGATCTTCAGCCTTCAATCCTCGTCGGGCACGCGTCAAATCTATTAAAAATAAAATGTTAGTATTACTTATTCTACACAAATTAACAATAAATGAACTATTTACCGATTCTTTTTCGTCTCTTATCACTAGCCTTATCAGGTATCTCGGTTTGACTTTTTTTGGTTTGGAAAGTCGGATCCGGAAGTTCGAATCTTGAGCATTATTCAAGCCTTGATGAGAGCCTAGTAAGATCACTATGAATGGGAGTGGAGTCGTGATGATGGTGGAAAAACGTTCCATGAATAAAGTAAACGATGCTGTGCCTTATCCCTCGGGTTACTGGGAAATTTCCGTACAATAAAAAACGCGATAAAAACGCAACGATTTGTCCCGGACGAAGTGGAACGATAATCTGGAGTTGCGGGAAGCACAGTTCGCCTCCCTCGAAATCACCTAAAGCGACCAAGCAACGTAAGAAATTTAGTTCGTCGTGCTCATTCCAGTGATAGTCACTGATCGTATTGAAATTAACTGCAACCATAGGGAAGATGCCGAATGATTTAGGTGCAAACGCCTCCACTTTAATTTGGATAGCTTCTTGTATAGATTCCCATAATATTTTTTAAGAAATTAATTAATAGAATTGGATAATGGGTAGAGGTTGTAGAGCAATTTATCGACACACTTTTGATAATCGGAATTGTGATTACTTGCAGTATTAGAACTAGTATAGAGAAATAGATTGTTCAAAGTAAATATACCAAAATGCTCAATAAAATTTTTCAAAAACTTTCGCTTCTATGTGATTGGTGCTCTAATGTATGAAAACTATAATGATTCATTGCATCCATTGCAGCATCAAAATTATCTATTAATCCTAGGTGAAGCAAGGTCTGACTATTAACATTAACAATACATCCTGAATTTAATTCAGTTATTTCTCCAAGGGATCACCATTTACGTACTGATATAATTATTCGAATCTTTTCTTTTTCCGTAATATGTGATAAAAATATTTGTCGTAATATTCATAGCCGTAAATTTATTTTTCTTTGAAAATCCAATATATATTATAAATTTTGCCATCCTAACTGGAGATGTTGTCTTACTTCTCTTCTTTTGATTCCCCTTTAAAGCCTAGCCAAACCCCGAATAAAACCCATAAGATTTTACCTAATTCTAGTGAGATACCATCGATAATAATTCTATTTACCCATACGAAGAATTTAGAAGGAATCTCAAATGAATTATATACGTCATTTTTAGTAGCCTTCGCTTCTCTACTAAGGGTCTCAGTTTTTAAAACTCTTGTAAAAATCTCATGCCGAAACAATCTGATGAGAATAGGTACACTTTTTCATTCATTTTCCAAATAATTTATTTTATCATACGTGGATAGCCCTTGGGTGACACTCTGAGTTCGATGCTAGGAATATTACCAAAAGATATTAGAATACAAGTCTTCAACTCCACATTGCGCATGAAATATATATATGAATATTTTTCTCATAGAACAAAGCTATTTTATGGCCGGGTCACATATTTTTGCGTACTGAATGAATCATGTGCCTATCGTCGCATAATATACCCGTACAAATAACTCAGGCGACCAATCTGTCACACAAAAGCAACCTAGCGCACATAATATGTAAAGAGAATTGCCGGAGGCGTCATAAAGTAGCTAGAAGTAATATACACCCGGTTTGGATCAAAAACGTTGTCGTTTATTGATGTCGGTATGGGTATGTTAGGTTCCACTGGAAATAATAAAATTTGTTCTTTTTCGAGTTTACGTTTCTTATTATAACGAGCCTGGCGGGACAGTTTCTTTTTTCCGGGTAATACCTCCTCCGACGTGACAGCTTCTTTTCGCTTGTTGACAGATACGACGATTTAAGCAGAGAAAAATAAATTCCTTGGTGTATTAACTAATAGGCGGGAAAGTCAAAAGCGCAAATGGCCGAGGATTCGCGTGCTACCTCTGGCACGTGATAAACGTAAAAATTTTAAATAAATAGATCGACCCACCCTCCCCATCATGTCACAAGTCAATAAATTATTATCAAGGACACGAAGGCAATATTTTTTTGAACGCGTAAATGACACTTTTATCCTGCGTTATTAATTTTATATTTCTTCTACTTTGACTTGCAGAGCTTCTTGAATACTTAGATAGTCACAAACCGGAAGAGTGGTCCCTTTCCCAGTTTCTGTTGCTTTATCGTGATAAAATTCTTAAAACCCCTCCATTCCATGACGACTGGCATGCTTTTGATGGAACGTGGACGAGGAGGTTTATATGGGCAGTCCAAGAACGAAACGAGAAGATTGATCTGAAGGTATATTGTGATAGTAACATAAGTTATTGGTTGATAATTAAAGGCGATTTTTACTTCGTAGATTCACCTTTTTTCACCATCAATTAATTCCCCAAAAAAAATAAATAAAATATAAATATTATGGTTAACGCCCAAGAATGTTTTTCCGGTGTTTTTTCGAGGGGTAATGATAACACTCCAAACAGGTGACTACCTGATTTAGGAGCATTAGGTGACTACCTAGTTATCATTATCTCGAGTGATCAATGATGACACTACAAACAGGTGACTACCTGATTTAGGAGCATTAGGTGACTACCTAGTCGTCGTTGGTTGCGAGTCTTTTCATATTATGGTTGATATGTTTATCCTTTTTCCAATGATATTTGATTCTAACGTTGCCATTATTGCTTAATTTCGAGGTTAATTCTGAGAGTAACCGCTTGTATTGGAGAGAAATTATTCGTGATCGTATGAAAGTGGGTAGAGTTTGTGTGCATCTCATTTTATTATATTTATTAATGTTTCTAAAAAATCATGGATTGAAACGAAGTTTGTGACAGACAAAGAAGGTCTTCACACTCCAGTACAGTTTCATGGAGAGAATGTTCGTAATAGCTACGATAATTGTGAAAAGGCAAATGAAAGAGTATCAAATTTTATCTTCGAACAAAACAAACCCAAGGTAAATTCTTATTGGTGGTATTAAGAAAACGTATACATATGTATACTTGCATCTTTTCTAGGGGAACCATTTACTTGCCCGACAGTCACAGAAATCAGCCAAGATCACTAACCCGATATATAAAAATGCTATTGTATTTAAAAATTCAGAAGCTTTAAAACATCATACAGAGTAGTCCCCCATAGTAATAGCTCGTCATAGCCTAAATCAGAGTACACCAAGACTATGAATGCACACACCATGCTTTTCCTCTCTAAGGGCATGGCAAGGTCTGGTCCACTGACTGTCCTATGCCACAATCACACGCAGCCCTGACTTTTGTTTTTTTTTAAAAAAAAATTTTTTTAGAACTTTATTGTCTAAAATGCTAAAGCTAGTATTGACATATTATAATAATATATGCATAGTAATAGGATTACGTTAATGATTTGTCTAATTGATGCCGTTTATATTTATGTTCTCATGTAGAGCTGCTTTCTATGACCTGCTCGTTTTCCTTGCAAAACGTCTCCAACCATCATTATTTCAGGCAAGCCACATAAATGCATACACTTTATCTTCTTCAATTACCATGTACGTACTAGTAGGGAGGAGGTGTTGTCTCACCATAGAATGTAAAATTTCATAGTGAATTGTTGAGGTACTGCCTATATAAGAGATCTATGATGTGTTTGTATCAATTTTGTCATTCTGTTTTTTATAGTACTTGATCGTTGTTTACTCTATCCAAAAGATGCCACTATAAAAAATCTTTTCAACAAAGCTGTATGGAAATAACATCTTTATCAAGAATGCAAAACAACACAGCTTTGAAAGTCTCTGCTGATCAATTTTTAAACCTTTTGATAGTAAATGCAGTTGGTGAGGTTTTGAACAAGACAATTGATTACGCAAAGATAGAAAACGAATTCTAGCCAACAAGGATTATTTTATCAAAATAATTTAGATAACGACAATAGCAAGACAAACTTGACCGATGGCGTTGTAATTGGAAGCATCTATGAAGAAAAAAAACTATAACAGATGTAATTATCTAAATTGTTTTACATGTAAATAGACAAATTTTGCGAATACAAATCAAATAGTCGCAAGGGCTGCGCTCACGTAATAAATTGTCAATACAATACATTGTGGTACGTGTCCCGACTGATAATAATGACGATGATATAACAAATGACAGACTAATAATATCAACATGTCATTCAATTATGTTACATACACGGGTGAAGTTAGACTCCGGTTTCCCCGATGTAATTTATAGTTCGGTTAATTTTTGCCGTGGACGCGTTTTCTCTTTGCCATCACAGTTTTACATTTATTGTCATCGGCAGTCCGAAAGCGGAACATCTTGCATTTGTTACATTCTATGACGCCTTGTAACAAGGTTAACAGATGATTATTGGGAAAGTTGCAATATGGTTACATCGTAGTATCAAATCTATTGAATACTTCTAACAAGGTGGTTTGACATAATATTGGAGGAAGGGCGTAGACTAGAGCACAACTTATTTGTTGATATGCAAGCGTTATTAGATTGTTCGATCCTACATATGTAAAAATTGGTTCATAATTATGACAATTTATGTGGTTTTTAATTTTCAAATTTCATCGGCAAAAGAAAATTAGTCAAGCTTATTTAAATAACTCTTTTCTGTCGATAACGCTTTATTAATAAAAAGCTTATTTTTTCTTCTTCTTAAAATCACAATAAAAGGGACATATTATCCATTCTCAACCGACCATTATTGTGATTCTCCCGGACCGCAGTAATTATACCGAACTTTGATAGTCTGGGAATATACTAATCATTACTATTTGAACTTATACACTATACCCGATTTGAAAAAAAGCTTCGTTTTATAAGTTCCCAAACATGCACGCTAACGCAGGCTGCTGCAAGTTCGATAGAATGTTCTACTGCGAAGTGTTATACACGTATTTTGTTGCACCTTTCAGAAAAAGAAAGCCACCACCGAATTTTATTATGACATTGCAGAAAAGGTTTAGATGTGATTTAAAGATAGCAAAACTATCTCATCGTTCAAAGAGAACATTTATTATAGTCATTTTTCCAACGAAAAGTGTCGGCACACACAAATATTCGCTCAGAGAGACTTGGTCATATTAATTAAATGTAATCAGAAAGGGAGGGGCGAGAAAAAAATGGTTCAGCCCTGGGTTTTTTAGTTCCCGGAGTTTATTATCCAAATATGTTAATGGTGTTTCATTACGCAGCAGCTTAGGCCGGAAATTAAAGTCCGGAATGTTATTCGCAATATAAAAGCTCCAGCCATAACCTGTCAAACCTTCAAGAACAGAATGAGGCAAAGACAAAGGTGGACACCGGAGGTATCATATTGTTCCTCAATGTTTCTCGTTATGTAACATTGCTGTTTTCAAAGACGTTCATTCGCACACAGGAAGACGCTCTTCTTCTTAGCTTGTATAAGAAATACGGTGTCTGGACGGAGGTAGCACGCTGCTTTCGCAATAGAACCGCTAAACAATGTGCAGAGAGGTACGATTATTTCTATAATTTACACACAATATATGAAAATTTTCACTTCTCGAAATGTTACTTCAAAAAACCGTCCGGGATATATAATAATAATATATATGTTCTGGTTACATTAACATTGTTGAACCAATAATGCTTATCACCATACATAGATGGCAAAACACGCTGCGGAACGGAAGTGAGTCACGGGAGAGAGAGGGAGGAGGGGTTGTGTGTGTGTCTTGTTAGTCAATATTTATTGATATGGGGGATTTTGTTATTTAAAAAGGATTTATTTTTTTTTCAGTCGACAATTCACCTCTTACAGAGACCGAGCGTAGCAAAATTGACGAATTACACAACATATACGGGTCAAAGTGGAGTCGTATTTCGGCTTATTTTCCTGGTCGTACTACCCGAATCATTAGAAATTATTGGCATTGCAATCAAAGACGCATTCGCCAGAAAATGTCCATTCAAAAGTTATTGAATTAGAAATGGAATCTTGAACACTTTTTTTCTTCTCACCTACAACACCAATGTTAATTTTGCATTAATTGGATTACTTACGTGCAATATTGTTCTATTTTCTAGATCGTCTTTAGTATATCTTTGATGTAGATGAGTCGTTTCATTAACGTCATCTGCATCTCATATTAATACGGATAGATTAATCATTTACTTTACTTTTTTACTATTAATGATTTATTTGTGTTATATTAGATTATCAAGCATATTCGTCTTATTCTGCGATTGTATTTTGAGGTTAATAAAAATTGCCTCATGTAATACCCATACGAGTAATACTAAGGAAATGTATTATTTCTTGTCGGATTGCTCTTTGAAGTTGGTGCCCTATCCTCGTAGCATTAATATTGCATTGCACAATGTCTGGACACACGTTACACGAGGTCCATGTCTTCTTGTACACACACATCTATCGGTTGCTTTAATGATGAACCGATTAATACCCTGTTGCTTCCAAGCCCGCAATTCTAGTTTTTTGATTGACTCGCGGCCATCTGTATTGAAAAGTACGTCTGTTAGCATCGCATCTGGAATATGACCAGGAACAAGGTTTGCGAACTCTATTAGTATACAAGGGGATAAGTCTTTCTGCTATAATATAGTTTTTTATATTGTCAATGCATTGTTTGCATTGGCCTAACACGTGTACAGTTTAGCATTATAATTATATGATCTCAACGTTATACTATTATTATTATATGATTTTTATACATCGATCCTACCTATCCTTTTTTTCAACTTTAAAAAACTGTCAATTTCAGAAGAGGGTAACGTAGTAGGTACTGTTTAGGATTTTCACAGTGACTCGTGGTTTCTTCGGAGTTGGGAACGTATCAAGTTAGCAGTGAATGTAAATCTGAGGTTTTTTGAGTGCTGATTTTACTTGCAAAGCATGCATACATTTTCAGGGTGACGGTTCACAGTTCACAGGAAAGAGTTGCCATCCTTACAAATCCAGCAGCTTAGACGGGTCATTGCTAACTCTATCAATGTTTTTGAACTAAATGATCGGTGATTCCCCTGTTCTCTTTTCCCTGCAAACTTTCATTTTGGCATAAATGACGTCAATATCATCATATAACGCAAGTCAGACTCCTGCTGATCTCTTTACTATAATTTCTGTATTCTGCTTGCCTCGTAACTTGCTAGGACTATTTAGAAGAAGGCTACTTTAAGTTTTTTTTATCCGCAGAAATAGTATCAAAGCAAATTGAGATCTGACCAGGAATAATTGTCGCGATTATATATATGTTTGGCTTATACAAAACGAGTAACAGACTTTATGGGCTGAACGTACAAGTAAATGTCCAAAGTATACAGCTTGAGCTTTTTTTTTAATCAAAATTTTTGTAAGCCCTTCTGAGACATTCTACAAGGAGAAACGAGATAGAGTAAGCGTAGCCAACATACCATCTAGCAAATAAATCGTAGTTTTGAAGTTCTGCACAATTACACTATTGATGGCATTATTCAACGTCTCGAGCACGCAACTACGGTAATGTTCTTACATGTTATTCCGATATCGCTTCACATTCTTCAAGATTACCCACTCGCAGCTTACATTAAAGCCCGATACGTGCCCAAGGATAGAAAACCTGTAACATTAACAGTATCGGCATTCGCAATCAGACATGAGAACGATGCTTTTATTACTAATCACATTTCTCGCAGAAACTCACCAATCCCCATAACGCCAAGCACAGTTCTACGCACGCCAGTTCTCGGGACGTTTCTCATGCCCCTTGCTAGAAACAAACTGTACATGCCAACTCCAGATATTACGCTAGCTCCAATTACTTTACATAATGTACAATCTTGATACTCTTTTTCTTTCCGTGCGGTTTTATTGTCTGGCATCGTCACGAAGTTTAGGAACTTTGCGTTCACTGCATTCCGTGAGAAAAATATTAATCACGTGATATGAGCACAATTTATTATTCTTTCTATAGCGTGAATAATTAATTAAGGTTGAATTTGGTACATATGTTACTTAAGGTGCGCTAACATTGCCCACCGCTCATTATGTCGTGGTCGGTATATGGGGCAGACTGCAACAATACGGATGAAATGAAGACGATAATTATAATAGCATTAATTATAATGTATAACATAGATTTCACCAGAGCGACCAAAATATAGGGTAGGGGTACTCATTAATGACTTTGGGTCCGAGTATCCCCCCCCCCCCATGCAATCGTTCTAGTGAATCTTCAAATATATCTACTCTGTTTTTTAAAGAAATAATAAAGTCTAGGTGACAAAATATGTGTCAATTATTGTGATTGCGTAAATCTGTCCCAACTTGATGAAAACATGGTCTCCCATTCAAACGTAACGTTTGTTGATGAAAATTGTTGTGAGCTCTGTTCGCGCAACGAAATTTTTTTTTGTTTCACTCTAAATGTGAGCAACTTTTGCGCGTCAGAACAATGAAAAGATCTAAAAACTTCCTAATATACGTCGTCATTAATTAAGCCACTGATCAGATCATATCGCGCAAGTCTTAGCAGCAAACATCAAGCCAAAGCTAAACTAACCACTCTTTTCCCGGACGAAGAGGAACGCGGCAGAGTAAGGAGTGAATGAATGTTTGGAGTATTTCGAAGGAGATTGCTGCATGTAGCACTCCGAACAATCCAAAGTAACGACAACTTTGACTCGGGCGCTGGAGACATAGAGCACATGGGTAGAGTAGACGGAGTAGTATGAGATGTAACATAGTTGTATTGGGAAACCGTTACATATATAGCCCGAGTGGATTTTGTTCATGATTCTGTGCTGTATTCACAAAATATGCAAATGGTTGTTTGTGAGAGGGGACATGGAGCAAAGCGATGTGTTAATTGAAACGTTGACTTGTATACTCATCCATAGGCCAGAAACAGAGCTATGCAGAGATGGAAGAGATTATAAACACGGCTGTCAAGAAAGGTATATATGGCCATCTCATATCAAGCACCGTTATTATTTCTTCAGCCTTACATTAACATCCCTTTAGCCCTTCATGAGCATGAGAGATCTATAATTTCATCTCAAGAGCTTCACGCAGCCATTATCAGATTTCCTTGGCCTTGAGAGAAAGGCGATTGAGTATGAGTTTACTGTGAACAAGGCAACCAAAGTGAAACCTTTCAGGTGGACACAAGAAACAAAAAAAGGACATGCAAAGGGCGGCTTTAAAATAATATTGTCCTACCTGAAGACTGTGAATATTATGATGCATCAGTAACACCTAGCCTCCTTAACACGACAATAGATGTCTTGTCTTCCAATATCACTGGAACTGTAGATGTAGCTGTCGTGGACAAAAAAAAAACATTAAAAGTGGAAATGTCCCTGGTGGCGGAGAATCGGCGTTGAAATTTAAAAAGACAGTTGCCCCATCCTATAGTCCGCCGCCTCTTTTATTCTCTTAATTTACATTATGTAAAAGATAAACAGTTTAAACTGGGCTTTAGCGAGCACCTCGTTGTGAATAAAAGTTCCTCGCAACAATGATAGTCCTTTGCTTTGCTCCGGACAATAATATCAAATATTAATTCAAATTCTCGTCTGACATCCGGGAATTCCTGGAAAACATTAATATGCCCGTTCTGTCCAATCTTTAGGATGACGCATGTGTTGGTGTCCCTGCTTTTTCCCAGCATCAGCAGTAAAAAAATTTCACTGCCCGATGAGCCACGCGTTTGATTTTAATTATCTATGAGTGGTGATATTAATAACAGTAGTATAAAAAACAGTAGAAGCATTCTGAAGAATTGGAGAGGTGTTTATTTTTAAAGTCATACAATTACGGTAAGCCACGCGTATGAAAACTGATATGATATTGATAACAACACAAATATAAACAGCAGAAACATTTAGAAGGATCGTCTATTTTTAGGTCATACAAATAACAGGTCCGGAGTATATTAATATCCGGAGAATATACAGTAAAAATGTTTCACTGGATATTATTAATTACATTATACCAATACGTGGTTTGTCGGACTCGCTAATCAGTAAAAATTTATTATTTACCGGAAACAATCGTCGTGATGTCATGGTGTTACAATAGACAATATCGACATATCAGATTCTCACGCTCCTTGTTACGCAACTGACGATATATAACACGCGTCTCTCTATCTGTTCTTCTCCTTCACTTCCTGCACATACGACCTGCCTGGTTAGTGTTTCCCTTACATCCATCACTCTCTATCACTCTCTATCTCTATCTCTCTCGCTCTCCTCTCCTCTTCTCTTCTTTCTCGCTTTCACGATAAAAATGGCAATGTCTACCACGCAGATAGGAGTATTAATCGCGTACATGCTTGCCCAAGCAGGCTTTACAGTAAGTAGAATAGGGTAATAAGGCTTTTTCTTATAACGTATTGTTGTTATATTGGTTTAATTATTTTATTCGTTTTTTTTAGTGGCAGAGGAGATGGGGACATCGACGTTCGCGCAGAATTTGGGAATACCAAATTCTGCATCAAGTGCAAAGCGCACGCGCAGAATATCGGTAAGTTTATTTTTATCATTACTTATTACTATGATAGAGATCGAAATACATAAACTAAGCTTATTTTCTTCTGGTATCGCCAGAAGCAAGTCTCAGAAATATATTAAGTCTCAGCATGCGCACACAGTACGCACTCACTCGCAGCACGCACTCACCACTCACTCAACTCACAATGTACAGGGAACTACCGTATTGCTTTGACTAAAGTACCCCGGGTATTTTACTGTTTTTGTATAGTAATTGCTGAGGATTTTAAAACCGAAATTAACAATTTACGCCACCTCTGCAAATGGGCTTTATGATCGAATTTCCCGATTCCCCGCAACTTAGGCAATTGCTTAATCCGTCGTGAGAACGGAGTAATGTCTATCTTTTCTTGTGGTATGAATACCAATGGGACATGTTTGTAGATTGTATGTTGATTTTTTGGAACTAAATCGTACCCTTATCATCAATTCACCACCTTTCAAAGATCAGTGGAATACTCTCGATGGTACATGGAATAAGCAATTTGTACAAGCAGGAAAAGAGCTATTAGACTTGATGTTAAGGGAAGCTTTTGAGAGTAAGGTAATTATTTCATTCCAGTAATTTTAATTGCAGTAAGGGAACTCCTTGACACGTGTCTACTTGTCGTGGAGTATCATGAGTCTTCCTGGCCCTAGTGATGGTATGGAAAACTCCTTGCACGTGTTACTTGTCTTGGAGCATCATGAGTCTTCCTGGTTCCTACCATTGCGTTCTGTTCTGTTGTGTTTCAGTTCGGTTTATTAAGGTGTTGAAATGACTAATTGTATACTCTAATATTAATATATATTGTTATCTACTTCTACTCTATTTAATAAGGTGAACCTGAAGCGTGCTAACCTGTACTCCTTTTTGGCAAGAAGTGATCACTGAGTGACTACGGGTAAGACCAAAGAAAATATTGGAATTTTTAATTTATCAATGCATTTCATTTCTGAAAAGAATCTCTATAATTATCATACTGTATTAGCACCGAGTTCAAATCACTTACGAGAAATAAACCCTTCTTACGTTTGATTAATCAGGTAAATTCTTTGGAAAACAACTGCGCTTACCATACAACAAGGAGGCATCCTCTTCGGGTTGTAAACGTTCCCATAGCACTTTAGATTGGTGGAGAATCCTCGCCATCCCGCCCAGTCCTGGCGGGATAGAGCTATCCGTTGCTTACTCCCACGATTGACATCCACTATTACAACTACCACTACTCCCGCCGCTACTACTACGACTAGTACTACTATTAGTACTATTACTGCTTCTGTCACTACTACTACTACGACCCAGTCGCCGAACCAGATTCAACTTCCCCTGTGGAGACAAAGAAGGTTAGCATTGAATGTTTTGCAAATAATCCCGCAAAAATGTCTTCTCACCTTTTTTATATTTCTGATGTGCACAGATCAGACCCGGTAAAGATGTGAATGTTGAGGAAGCTAACAATGATGATGTAAATGGGAGAAGTCTGCGCTATTTAAGTGGACGGACTAAGAGTAGGGAATATTCATGGAATTGAACAAATCGCATAGGACTCTAGATGTCATTATTGGGAACGACAATACCAATGTATACGAAAATGCAGTTATTGACCGATTGCGTATCAGCAATTTACGGATAAATATCAAAAAATTAAAGAAGAGATAAATGGACTTTGTCAACTAAAAAAACTGTTGAAGATGCATTATATGCATTTGGAATGAAGTGCTCACATGAACAGTAAGCATTTACTCGTTGCTTTTAATAAGAAAAAATTGCCATCAATGCCAGATGATATTTTAATAGTTTCCGAAAGGTGGTGCCCTTTGGACAATTTGGGCAGACTATACTTCTTATGCTTTCTCACATTCTCCTCTTCCATCCTCAGATCAAACCCTCAATTCCATGTTGTCATTCCTTATAAGCTATAGTCACCTACATCCTCCTTGCAACCATTATTTACACTAGACGTCTACCATGTAAAGCCTTCCTGCTGGCCAACTTCTTTATTTCATCTCTGATTTTGTCATGTTAAAACTAGCTTTACCGAGCCTGTAGCAGGATATCGTAGCTTGGAAATAAAGTCGTATAAATATCGTAAAATGTACTCACACAGTTAAGCTGACTTTTAACATGTATGCGTGTATGTGGTGTGGTATGGTGTATACACGCACCGAAAAATATATGCCGATTTATTAATACTAATACGGACAATATGCCTATACCAATCGTGCTTTTACGTCATCCTTTCCTCCCTCTCAGCGGCCATTCTCTTCGATATTCAATGTTTGGTGTTAAAATCTGACCCTTTATTCAATTAAACGAGAATACTGTATTTGTAACTTAAATGCTCATTCGCCAATTTATGACCTGATCTAATGATGTTACAAATACTGGGTACGCTCAACTTAATTTAGTTAATTACCCGAACGTCAAAATTTTCTTAAAAAATCCCGAAATGTTGAGGGTTTCCTTAGTTAACCCCCGCCATGAAAGTACTTACTGAAAGAGAGAAAGACGAGCATTATCGCTATGTGCTCAAACATGGACTGCGAGGTGGTATAATAGGTCTTGCAGCTGGCATGGGTCTTTCTCTTTTAGGGTCACGATTCATTCCGTCATATAGGAATCTCAGACTTCCGCTCAAAGCATTTCTTGTCTCGTCAGGTTCGGAATAAATCGCAACTAACAATCGTTCATACGATTCAAATTACTCAGATCTTACTATTTACAATGATACAGTGGCATCCGGCACTTGTATGGTGATAGCTGAAAAGGCATCCCTCGAATTCGACAGAGCATTGTATGGATCGCCCAAAACCCTCGAAAAAGTTTCTCACCAGAGTAAGCTTGAGAATGTAAGAGATTTCATGATTGACAATAAATGGGGTGTCTTTTTTGGAATATGGGCCCTTGGAATGGCTGGCTCAATGGGATTAATATGGCGTAATAGGTAAGCATCTAATGAAATTGATATGATTCAACCCGTCTCTCACAATCTCTTCATTCTCGTAGATACTTAACCCTCTCCCAGAAATTAGTGCAGGCGCGTATGTACGCACAAGCAATAACTATTGCTGCTATTCTGGGTTCAGCAAGTTTGTCAATAACAGAATCGTCGCATAAGAGTAAATTTAGTAACCATAAATCTGATGAATGGATCTTGGTGACTGAAAAAGAGAGCCAAGACAATTAAGACTCAACAATATCTACCAAAATATGATAATTTCACTTAAATGTGTATATTACTGTTTAATAAATAGAAGAAAACAACTTTCTTACACGAACTCCATCATCTTCTATACTATGTCATTAGCATGCCGTATCGACTATGTGAAGAAGTTGCTTTGATTGCGTTTAGATACTTCCGATTTCCCGTTTCTTCTCTTTATAGATTACTAAAACTACACAACAACAAATTTATCCTGTGACATTACTCAATCTCTTAACTAGTCGAATGTTGGTAGTAATAACGGTGAAGTCCCAGCTGAAGAGTCATATTTTGGCCGTTCTTCGTCCGGTAACGACATCAACTGTTCAGAACGATGCGAAGACTTTGATGCAGACGGCATACTTATTTTAGACTCTCCAGCAGTTTCCGATCTCCAGGAGGGTGACGTCGTCGTCCTTTGAGAGGTCACTGGAGCTACTACATCAGACAGTTCCGTCCTGTCGCCGTCTTCCGATTTATTAGTCATCGACGTCGATAGGGCATCATTATTTAAATAGGTTTCCGTCGACAAGGAGTGTGCTGTCACCGAAGTAAGTGAGAATGTGGCTGACGAGGGTCCGTTTGGCGGTTTAGGAAACATCCCAGGCGTAGGTTTCCAATTATGTTTCTTTCCCTCTTTGTAAATTTCCTCTAATATTTCTTCAAAAATGCCTTCGGCTTTGAATTGTATGTACTTCTTGTACAAGAGCAGAGCCTTTAAAGTTGCGATTTTAGTGAGAGTTTATAAGATTCTAAATCGAATAGCTATTTGTAAAGTTTTACCGTTCTAGCATCCTCCACACTGTCATGAGATTCTGTCTGAATATCTTGATTAAGGAGACACCAGGCCAAGAAACGAAGAGAAATCTTTCTGTTAAGATCGAAGGAACATATAGTGGTATTAGGATACTAGCCGTTTGAAGCACTTCTTTTGATCAAATATTACCTCTGTCTATTTTTAATATGGAAAATTTCAACTGTATCAATAACCTGTTCTGGTGGAACCAAGATATCTAAAAACTTTCTGCATTAATACATCGAACGTATCAAAAGTTTCAAGTGTTAAACCTCACAAGGACGTACTTATTATTCTAAAGTCTTTTTTGAGTCCGTGGCCGACAAAAACGCATCCCAGATCGAGCAATAATCTTAATTTCTTATAGGCCACTTTGAGCGGCACTAGAGTATGTCTGGAGGTGGCAGGGTCCAAGTCGCCAGCTTTTATCAATTCAAATCAGATTATGTAGTAATAGGAATTATATTACTGAGAATATTTATAATAAATAATGGCATACCTTTAATTCCCGAGTATTCAGTCAAGTAGTCTACAACAGGATCCGATGTAGCAATATAGTCATCAATAAATGGAATGCCTTCTTTCTCGCCCTCGCCACGCAATACACTGACACGGGCTAAACTAAGTCTGCTAGGACGAATAACTGACTTTGTGCCATCACTTCTAATCTCAGTTTCTTCCTATAAATATGCCATGAGATCACACGACCTTGTTAATAGACTGCATATTGTCATAAGAATTCAAGTAAACTCCCAAGTTCGATATTAATATCCTTCACAATAATTAATAATCACCACACCTGGCTCAATGCAACAAATTCAGCGTCTATTGCTACTAGAGTTCCTGGTTGTGGCGTTTCTTCTAGCGACAAAAGTTGGAAGGGTTTTGGAATCGGGGCAATCGATTTCCTTTTAAAAAAAAGTTAATCGTAAACGGCAGTCCCCAATAGACCTTGTACGGGTCGAAATTTCTTACTTGGCTATTGAAGTATCTTCGAAAAGTATTGAATGATCTACTTCATTTGGAAGTGCTGATATATCGACAAGAGCGTCTATATCAATTCTAGTAAAATACAGTAGCACTGGAACCTATATAGAAAATGTTAGAACTCCGTTCCGGATGTCAATAAACGCTGAGGTATTTAGTGGACCTGTATACCTTCCATAATCCTTGAAAATTGAAGACTTCCTGTTCATTAACATTTTTGACAAGGAAATCATTAAATAGATACCATTCACTTTTACTCGTTGGTTCTAATTCTTTCTTAGGTACTAGAGAAAAATCACCAACAACATTAATATTAAATAAAATTCAATTGCTAGATAAATATCAATAATGACAGGAACCTACTTCGTATAAAGGCAGTTATATGAGGCGTTTCTTTCTCTGGTTCAATCTGCGTAATTATTGCCTGTAAAGTCGGAAGAAGGTTTTCTGTTGTTCAAAATTACCTACATTTGCGAAAACGTCATACGTGACTAAAATCTTTATTCTTACCGTTAACTCATATTTTGCATGGCATGGGCTACCATTCGTGCTAGTCTCCTGGTCACTACCCTCAAGTGTTGTTTCAATCTTCAAGTCATCACCCTCAAGATCCATAGTAATCCTTATTAAAAAGTATGGATAAAGTTATTAGCAAAAACGAATAAATCAATTAACGGCTTCAATTTACATACCTCGTTGGTAACCATGATTTTTGGTTCACTACAGAACGCCAGAGCTCACTTGGTACCGCGTTACCTAATCCGCAGTTGATTACAAGTACTGGAGGCAAACTTTTTGGTATCTTCTTCACAAGACTTGGTTGATATTGTTGACATTGATTGCACCATGCCTTAGTTTGGGTCTCTCGACATATACTTCCACTCAGAACATCTTCGAATCTTCTTACGGCCGGTTCTTTTCCCTTTGTATTTCCTTTAACATTCTATAACGCGATTTCATTATAACGATACAAATATTAGATTGAAGCGATGATTCAGCGTAAACAATATAAATTCTTACTTTGTTTTTCTGTAAATCAACAACAAACGGTATGGTCATTCTTTCAGTCTCCCTTTGACATTGACATCGACTAACCAGCGCCATCTGCATTCCAAATACTTGCTGTATGACAGAATAATTTTTTTCATCCAACGGAAGATGCTTGAGCAGCCGCTGGTTGTTATCGGTATTGCACTCTTGATGAAGTTGCTCGAGA